GTCTCTGTCCCTTACGTTCTGCCACCAAACCATCATGAGTCCAGTCACTTCCACTTTCAAATACTTATCCTGAAACCTGAACATTTTTACCACCTCAGTAACACAACTTTGACCGGAACCTATTGCCTCGGCACCGTGCTGGTGCAGCAACCTCCTGCCTCCTGTTCTACCACAAGCTCTAGGTTTTACATGGAGTGACATGATGCACTGTAACTTAGTGTCCACAGTGGCTAGAATCAGCTTACAAAGATGAAAACCAGATCCTGTCACTCTTCTGCTCAAAACTCTAAGGCTCCCATGGTATGCACAATAATGGCCCCTAAAGATGCCCCACGTCCTAATCCCGGAAACCTGTGAAAATGTGACCTCGCAGTGGCAAAGGGACTCTGCCGACGTGGCTGAGTTAAGGCTCTTGTGATGGGAAGTTTCCTGGGTCACCCAGGTGGGCCAAATGTAGTCAAAAGGGTCCTTGTAAGAGGGCGGGGCAGTCAAAGGAAACGTGGTAACAGAGGCAGAGGCTGCAGTGGCATGGCCAGGAGTCAACCAATGCAGGCAACCTCTAGAAGCTGGGAAGACGGGCTGCTAGAACCCCCAGGAGGAACACAGCTCTGGCAAAACCTCGATTTGAGCCTCACGAGACCCATTTTGTACTTGTAACACCAGAATAACAAGACAACACACATGTGGTGCTTTAAGCGCTGTCTGTGACTGCGTGTCCAGCAGCACAGGAACTAACATGCTTCATTCGTGGGGGAGCCTCCAAAGCTCATGGGAAAACGCATATTACAAAAAACCGGCATGGGTTTCAAAATCCATTTTGTGCACCAAAAATAAACTAGTACTTTAAGTTGTTTCCCACGAACTTCTTGAAGCACTCATGTGCTTCAAGCAAAAAGCCTGCACTTTGGCTTGTAAGATTGTAGAAGATCTTACCTTGGGCGGCCTCTCTGGCCTTGTCTCCTGACACTGGGACTTCCCTGCCTGGCTCTTGTCCTTCCCTAAGCAGGTAATGCCCACTCCTGGGGGCGGTGCCCTCTCTTGGGGGCGGTGCCCTCTCCTGGGGGCGGTGCCCTCTCCTGGGGGCGGTGCCCTCTCCTGGGGGCGGTGCCCTCTCCTGGGGGCGGTGCTCTGCACGCCTGTTCTTCTAGACCTCGGTCTCCCATTGGCTCCGCCTCTGCCTGCACGCAGGTCTCTGCTCCAATGCACTCGCCAAGCTCGAATGCCCCAGCACTGCGCCACTCTGATGACCCTGCTTTGTCTACACAGCGAGGCTACTAGCTGAACTCACACCCCGCATTTACTTGTTTGCTGTCCGTCTCACCCACTGGAGCGTTGGTCCCAGGAGATCACTGCCTGCCTGTTTATGATACCCTACAGCTGGGACAGCGCTCAAGCGATCCCTGTGCTGACAGGTGTTTGCTGAGGGCCCACTATTGCCAGGTACTAGTCCAAGGTCCACGGATACGGCGGTGGGAAGAAAAGGGAAGACTTAAGAACTCTACCTTCTCAAAGCTTGCATTCTAACAGGAGGAAACTAACTATAAAGGAAATAAATCAAGTATACATACCATGTCATGGAATGAGCACAATGGAGAAAAATGATATGGAAACTGGAGGGAGGATGCTGAGATCTGACACAGGGTGGTCGGGAAAGGACGCATGGAAAAGGTGAGGTGTGAGTGAAGAAATGAAGCATGGAGGTGTCTGGAGGGAGTGTCCCAGGCAAAGGGAACGGCAAGGACGAGGGTCCTAGAGCAAGTGCCTGGCAGCTCTGAGCCTGGCAAGGAGGCAAAACGGGGCTGAACAGAGCAAGTGAAGGGAAACAATCAGAGACAACGCCAGAGAGGACTCAGGACTTCGCCTCGGAGGGCCTGCAGGCCACAAGGACTTTCAGTTTTATAGGAGAGAGACGAAGGCCATTGCAGAGTTCTGAGCAGACAAGGGACTGATGTGGTTTGGTTTCTGAAGTACGGAAGGACATGCCGAGTGCAGGGAGACCAGTTAGACAGCCACTGTGACAATACAGGTGAGACCATGACGACATTATCACTTAAACACTAATGTCCAGTGATGCAGACTCCTGCAAGAAGCCTTCCCTGACAACACTCCTCTTTGCCTCTGGCCGGACTAGAAGCCCCTACTTCCTGCTCCAGCATCACCCTGGCTCTACTCGTAGTGCCCAGCTGTCCACGCGTGCTGACCGGCCTCCCCTCTCCCTCAGACGGTACACTCCGGGCACAGGAATTCCAGCTGAGTCATCGGCAGCACTGCCACAGGGCTCCGCTATGGGCCTTCTCATGTGTGACTCCACCTCAAAGCTCAAAGAAGTCCTGGCTTCACGCAAACTGTAAAGTCACACCACGACGCTGGCCAGCCTCCCCTCAAAAACTCAACGCAGAGAGCATTTGACACGCCTGTGCATGTATGTCTTCCTACTCATCTGTGGGCCTAGAGATTCTGGGTTTGATTTTTGTTTCAACTGGAGATATCTATCAGACCTAATTCCAAATGAGGATGCAGGCCTCCTGCAGGGGAAGTTAGCCAGAGAGGTGAAGAGTCACCCTTACCTTCTGAGTGCTTCTTCTTGGTGTGGTAGGCCAGGGCAGAGGCCTGCGTGAAGGTCATGAGGCAGTGCTTGCACATGAATGGGCGGTCCCCGGTGTGAAGGCGCAGGTGGTTCTTCAGGGTAGAATTGGCTGCGAACTTGGCCCCACACTCTTCACAGGAGAAAGGCTTCTCGTCAAAGTGCTCTGTCAGTTTGTGGTACTGCATGCCTAGGGAAGCCGTACGAGGACCGGGAGAGACATGAGCAGTCGGTGTTCCGGATCAGAACACCGCGACCCAGTCAGGCCTCCAGGGGAAGCACAGCGTGACCCACAGCATGCCAGCCACACTGGCTTCCACCCTCACTGGGCCACGCTGCTCATCTGCCCCCAACCAGCACTCGCGAGTCACTGCGGCCTCACTCCTGGCTGGACTGGGCTCAACGTGATTATGAGTTATCTTCCTTGTGCTCTCGCTCTCTTAAAGACTCAGTCACTCAGAGATAGGGAAACAAGTATGTTTCCTTAGGTTTAGCCAATATCTGGGGCAAGAGAAAGCAACGCTGACCACACATCCGCCGGTTCTGTGACTCTTGTTCGTTAGCAAGAAATAAGTGGTGCATGGAAAGCTAAGAACTAGGTATTTAACAGCTGCTTAGTGGGCTAGCCCCATGGCCTAGTGGTTGAGGAAGCCAGATCCAACATGGCTAACTGTGTAGTTTGGATCCTGGTCCTGGTGGCTTGAAAACACACCAAGTGCATATGCGTGCCCAGTCCAAGGATGGTGGAACGAAGGGACTGTGGTGTGACCCTGCCCTGCTGCGGGTGCTCCTCCTCCGCCCTCTCTCTCCCAAGTTCATGTGCCCCTTGGCAAATTTCAAAACACAATAGCTGGTTATGCACCAGGTGTTTATCTGTTACCTTACATTTTCATAACAATCCACAAAGGAAGTGGTATCAGAGTGTCGATTTAATAGCTGAGGAAAGCAAAGCTCAGAGAGCTGATCCCAAAGCCCATGTTCTTCTCAAAATAGGAACCTGCTCTATTTTCCAAGCCCATCCACACTCCTCGCTGCTCACGACCAGAGGAGCTGGGCTGCAATACCCTCTCCCCACTATGCGGTGTTCCTGAATGTACCTGAAGCATGAGCAAACTCTCTTCCGCAGAGGTCACAGGTCACCGGAAGCCTCTTCTTCTTCTTCTTGGGGGCGTCCGGCTCTCCGCCTGCACCGTGGGCCTCCAGCTGATGCCTCTCCAGCTCTTTCTTAGAGTCCTTGGTCTCGCTGCACTCCTTGCACTGCACCTGTTTGCTCTTGGCCGCCCGGCAGCGCTTCATGTGCACCTTGAGGCGGCAGTAGAAGTGGAAGCTCTTGTCACAGGCCTTGCAGACGAAGCTCTTCTTGGCAGAGTCTGGGGAGGCAGAAGTCTCTTTCTCTGGCGGCCCTGGCAAGGACCCAGACTCTCCTCGCTCGCCGTGCTCCCCAGACTGGCAGTCGTCTTTGGCAGGCTCGGCTGCCTTTTCTCCTTTGTCGCTGGCTTCAAGGTGAAGTTTATTGCTCACCTTCCACATTTCTTTCTCTCCATTTTCCTTAGTGACTAAACCTGCGGAGCAGAGAAATCTCATGGCTCTGGGAAGTCTCTGCTTCTACTTTGCCTTTTAGCTTTTTTAACACACTTCTGAGAGGAGCCTGGAGGACTACTTGGGTGCCCAGAACGACTCTGAGGAAATGTCGGTATAAACACAAAGAACATCACTTTACAGCTAAGTCTCGTGACTTCCTAGGGGTACCGAGATCGTATAAGATGAATAAATAAAGTAACGACGGACTCTTAAACAAACTACCACATTTTTCTTCACTAACGAAACAACGTGGGGACTAGACAGGGCCCTTAGTCCACCGTCTCTTACCGATATTTGCTAACTCCTGCATGACAGGCCGTAGCCCTGGGAAAGCCCTGTGGACACTGCACAGGAGGTGACATATCTCAGTGGCCGACACTGATCTTTCCATGGCTCTGCTCAGGACTGCTCTCAGGGAAGCTTCCAGGCTGGTGGTTTCTGAGGAAATGTTCAGAATCTAAATGAATACCATGAGACAAAGGTCTGAGGTTAATGTCTGAGCTCCATGGTTTTCAACTTAAAAAAACAAACAAATTCCAGAAAGGCACTACTCCATCTATAAGTAGCTTATACCTTTGTGATGAACATAATGGAGAGCCCTGTTTTCCAAAACACAGGAAAAGGAATCACACAACAAGAAAAATGTGAAAATATTAAGAAAGCACAAGTGGGGAAGCTAGTAAGCATTTTCTTTTCTTTTCTCTTATTTTTAAGAGAGATTTTTGCTATAGGGTACATGCACTTGCCAGAAAGACAGAGAGACAGAAAGTGGGAAATCAGTTCCTGGAGGAGATGGCCATGCTGCAATCCCTTCTCCTCCATTCTCCTCTTGGGATCCTGGGCACGCATGCACACATGCCCAACATGAGCTTTAAGCCACAGGGTCCAGGACTCGAACTGCAGTCAACTATGTGGGGGTCCAATGACATAACCATTACACCATCTGCTAGTCCTGCTAGTAAGCATTTCCTACGAGAAATCTCTTCTGAGAAACTAGTATTAAAGCCTAGGAAGCTAGAGAATTTCGTTGGTGGTGTTTCTGCCTTTAAGATGAGGATAACTTTTCATAGCATATAGTGTCTCAATGTCTGGAAGTAATTCTGCATGATCAGTGGCTTCACATTTTTAGATACTTAGATGTACCCTTTTAACCATCATTTTCTTTCATAAAGAAACTCAGCGTTTTAAGAAGGTTCAAATAGGGGCTTTAAAGAGGCCAAGAACATTATTTCAAAGCCATCCTCTTTTAGAATGTTAGAGCCATCAGCAGAAAGAGCCGGTACACTGAGAAAATAAAGCTAAACCATCCACAGATGGCCACATGGAATTTTCATTTTGGAAGATATTTTATTTCTGCTCTTTTCAAGTCTATCTAAATAAACCTGATGTCCCTGGAGGCAGGCATGAGACTAATTAGTGAGGCTAAAACTGATCAACTGCAGGAGAACCGTGTCTGAAGTAGGTGGCGTCTGGAGAGTCTAGCAGAAGAGTCTTCCCTCTGAAGCCCCACGGAAATGTGTTCCATCTCTTTTCCGTCTGAGAGTCAGACTGGGCTAGGGCTGCCACCTGGCTGGAGAGTCAGAAACCAGTCCTTCCGCACACCTTCTGTGCTTACCTGGAGTAAGCAGGCACTACAGTAAGGCTGAGGTTTAATTTTATTTTCATTATTAATCACCCCCATCCCACAGGATGCACGATTCTGGGCTGGACAGCCATGAATCCCCCCAATCCCCACCTGGTTGTTCTGGGATGCTGGCCACATTGTGAGAAGCCTTACAGAAAATGAGCTGGCACTACAGCTACCCCATATGGGCAGAAGCTTTGTTCTATCTGTGTTTATCTTGGCTCCTTTGAGAAGTCAGAATAGAACACACGAGAAGACCAGTCTGACTTTCCTTCATCTGAGAAGCTGCTTCTTAGAACACGTTAGAGAACAGGATCATGGTTCCCCTGGAGATTCACCTGGGTGTGGACAGTGGAATCAACTTAGGTCGGAGTGCTCTGAACCTGCCTTCAAATCCTGCCCTTGTCTCTTACCTGCTGGAGCATCCTAGACATGTAACTTACCCCCTGGGAGCCTAAGCTCTGTCTGTAAAGTGTGATGAGATCCCCTGTCACTCACGTGTTGAGGCATTGAAAGTGCACGAATGTCAGAAAGTATTAGCTCAGCATGGGGCTAGGCACGCATCCCCCGAATTCCTCCCTTAACAACACAGTCCCAGGCACCGTGCTGCACCAGCACTGGTGTGCTCCTATCCCCACCACACCTCTTTCACAGTCTCTGCCAGGCGCTCTTCCTCGGAGGTAAACCCTTTGAGCTCAGTCCCCTGTTGAATGGCTTCTGTGATCAATTTGTTATGCCTCAGGATTGTTTCTAAGGCCGCACTTTCTGGGGTGGTCACTGAAAGCAAGAAAGCAGGATCAGAAACTCATTAGTAACCCTACCAGCAACACATTTCACCTAGCTCCTATCTGGGACCGGGGATGGTGAAAACAGCACCGGCCCTGGTGGGTAATAATGCACATCAACTTACAACTATCGCTATGTGTTAAAAAACAAGTTTACGAACATCCTGTGCCCTCGAACAAAACTGCCAGCCCCTACTTTTAACAGGAGGCATGTGGATGGCCACATGGGAGAAGAGGAAGCGTTCCATTTTCTGGGGAAACTGACGATTATCTCTAGGGGCGACACCATGACAGAGGTCGGCTAACCCACCTGCCCGGAAGAAAACATCAGCGCCAGGCTCCCTCTGCACTTCCTCCATGAGCAGGTTCAACGGGCAGGTCCTCGTCTCCTGAGCCTCCAGCAGCAGCCGCCAAATTGCTGTCGCAGAGAGAGTCTGCTTTTCTAGAACTGCTGACACCAGGGAACTGAAACCACCTGAGCCAGAGTCCCGTCTCACGAGCTCCTCCATGACCTTCAAGATGCAGCACAACCATGCATGTAAGAGACCTGCTAGTGCCCGGCTCAGCTGTAGGGCGATAAGCCTGGGCATTATCGGGTTACGGCGCACCTACTTCTGGGGTGTTCCAACATCCTTCACCTCTCTCAATCTGAGGGATTTCTTATACAAGATGGAGCTCTTCATTCCTCCTTTTGAAAAATGAATTTTTGGGGCCAGCAGATGGCATAGCAGTTACATTGCTCGACTCCCACATGGCTGACTTCGGTTCACGTCCTGGACCCGGTGGCTTGAAAATCACACTGGGTGTGTGTGCATGCGTGCCCAAGATCCCGGGAGGAGAACGGAGGAGAAGGGGTTGTGACATGGCCATCCCTTCTGGAAGGTGATTTCTCACCTTCCCTCTCACTGTCTCTGTCTCTTTCTCTCTGGCAAGTACACACACCCTAAGACAAAAACCTCTTACAAATTATTTTTTAATTGACACAATAATTGTGCGTGTTTATGGGATACAGTGTGTGAATACAATGAGACTGAAGTACCTTGTTCCTCCTCTGGAATGCCTTTCCTTGTTACCACAGAAATTACAACTACTCTCCTTGACACTCCACCTTGGAAACTGAGTCAGCTTCCAAAAGAAGACTACGAACGGCCAGTGTGCTCGACCTCGCTAACCATCAGGGAACTGCAGGTCACAGCCACCGAGAGCTATACCTCACCCTGGTTAGAACGGCTGTCATCACAAACAAACCACAAATGCTGGCAAGGGTACTGCACTGCAGTGGGAGTGTAAGTCAGTACGGCCATTATGAAAATCAGTATGGATAATAAACAAAAATAAACGAAAAACAAAACTGTCATATGATCCAGCAATCCCACTTCATATTCAAGGAAGGGAGATCAGTATGTAATAAAGGTAAGTGTGGCCCCATGTTTATGGCAACCTCATCCACATTATACTTTTACACACACACACACACACAGATGAAATACTATGCCGCCATGAAAAGGAATGAAATCCTTTCATTCAAGGCAATATGAACAAGCTGGGAGGGTATTGTGGTAAATAAGCCAGGCTCAGAAAGAGAAAAACTGCATGTTCTCACTCTTCTG